AGAGCATATTCATGTCAAAGTGGGGTGGGGTAGAGGGATAGATCATATGAAATAAATTGAGGAACCATGGGAGTACAGTGTTTGAAGGAATATCAATATGCATATTTAAGTCTCCTTGTATAAGGCAGGAGTTCAAGAACAGAGAAAGACTATGAGTCAGACAGTAACCTCATTGAGGAAATAAGAGGAGTGTCTTGGAGGTTGGTAGAAAACAGCTACCCAAATTCTGATTGGGTGCTACATATGGATTGAGTATACCCCAAAGGAGGAGAAGTTACTGAGTGATGGTGGCAGAGGGAGAGCCTGGATGTTGTAATATGGAGCAAGGAGTATTCCATCTCCTCTACCATGACCAGACAGTCAGAGGAATAAGAGAAAGTGCAACCAGCGCTGGAAGAGGTGGCCAAGGAAGGCTGTGTCATCAGGAGGAGTCGGTCTCAATGAGAGCCGAAAGATGGACAATATGGTCTGGATGATGACTGCAGTAGGTTCAGAACTGGGAAATGTAGGTTGGTTGGTTGTCCTTTGTTCTAGAAGAGTCAAGTTATAATGCGGCCAACTGTGGCTGATCAGACCAATACAAGCTCAGAATGCTCTACCACAGGTCAAGCACCAATAGTCCAAAGTTCTGAAGAGAGATCCTGCAAGTGTCCTTGTATTGCTTCTTCTGACCACTGTGTGAGTGCTTGCCCTGTGTGAGTTCTCCATAAAATAGTCTTTTAGGCAAAAGTATATTTGGCATTCGAACAACGTGGCCAGCCCATCAGAGTTATGCTCTCTATAGCAGAGAAGGTAGCTTATTAATCGTTGATGAATGAATTCAGACAGGTTGTCAACACTGACTTTGACCTTTAGGTGGAGTCAGTTAAACTCTATGGATCTCAGTTTCCTCATCTGTAAAAGGAGGGCATTGGACTTGATGACTTCTAAGGTCTCTTCCAGCTTAAATCTAGGATTCTGTCAGTTGCTCTGTGTGGGCATAGCCTTCAAGAACTCAGGATTATTATACGCCAAGGAAATCTGCAAGTTTCCAGGTATGCCAAAACAGTCAAATAGCAGTCTGTGATAACAAAGACTTAGAAACAGAGTGTATGCCCATCAATTAGGGAATGGCTGTTAAAAAAAAAGTAGTATATGAATGTATTATTATCTTGCCACCTTGGAATCCCTCTATCCTGATTGGCAGTTACCTTTCCTAGATCATTATTTCAGGAAAGCCCCAGCTGCCCCTTCTCACTTTATTCCCTGCTCTCTGCCCTTCTCTTCCTCTCAGACTTTTCTGGAACCATGATTGAATCAACTCTGTAATGTTCTTTCAAAACACTCATCATTCCTGTAACTTTTTGGATGAGAATACATCTCCTTGATTTTTGTATGATATGTTGTACCCCTATTTGAATGTAAACTCCCAGATGTCAGGAACTGGCTTTACTTTTGTGTTTGTATTCCCAGCACTTAGGGCAGCACTGCTTGGCTTATTGTATGCACTTAATGTTGTTGTGGCTTTTTTTTTCCCATTCATTCAAACATAGACCCATTGTTTTACATGCCCGAAGATTGTGGATGCATCACAGCATATATTTCCTCATCCTCCCAATTTAGCTTCCCAGCCCACTGAAGTGGTTAGCAGCAGTAGCAAATACTGTCCTCCACAAGTTTTGTCCTCTGAAAGCTTGTTAAAACCAGTTGAAAGAGATATGTGTGCCCTGGAGCAAAATTTTCAGCAAACAGAATTTAGTGCAATTCTGTTCACATCTCTTCACCTGCCCTTAGCAAGCTGTCATAGGTTTAGCCTGGTTGCTTATGATAATGGCAGCCCACCATGGAGGAAATTAGGCAGAGAAAAAAAAATAACCTTGCATTATCATCCTCAACATTGGGGATTGGGGAGTATGTGTAAAGAAATATTATGAGCTGAATTTGACAACAATTATTTAGCACAGGTGGCTGGTTGTGAAGCTTAAATGCGTTAATCTATGTGAAAGCATCTTCATAAGAGCAAAGCAGTTTAAAATTATGAGCTGTTATTATTATGAGCAATCAGGGTTTTGTCCAAGAAGAAAAATAGCTGTGTGGTTGCTGAGAAAAACACTCTAGGAGAGCTGGCCAGAGCTATGATATAATCCTACCAGCAAGATTTTCCTGGGGTCATCTAGCCATGTTTTTCTTGAAGCTTTACATAGCCTGAAGATAAAACAGCCACATTATCGCCATATAACAGGGCTATACCCAAAAGGGAGAGGGTTACAATTCTTCCCCATCCTTTCCTCTACCTGATTTCAGGGACATCTGAATATCTCTATCAGATACAGAGTGGCTGAGGACAGGAATTATATTGGCATAGTTCTTTTTGCAAGGGGGAACATAATAAATACTTGTTGATAATCAGGATGCCTAGCATACCCAAACGTGCCCTTATAACCACTCCCATGTTACTGAGAGTTCTAGGTTAATCATTTTAAGTGAAAGTTGATTTGCTTCTATGTGTCTTCTTTTATTGTCAATTAAATTCATTCTAAGTAATTTCCATGAATTTAATAGGTGGCTCTCTAAAAGCATTTCTAATCCATTCTTTGGCATTCTCACATTTGGAGACAATTATGCTTAAATTTTTTTTTGTAAATTGTATAAATTACAGTTAGAAATCTTTCACAGAGTTGAGATTTGTAAATTCAAAAGAGACAAAGCAGATGTGTATAGGTAGTTACTACCATGAAAACATAAAGAAATAAAAATTTTAATTTAAGGTAAAGCATGGGGCCACACCTATGGATAGCTGCTATCATAGATTTAAATGTATTCTTAAAATAACAAAGAAAATTAGAGTAAATAGTGATCAATAGCAATTATAGTAACTGTGGACTTTTTTTTTCCTCTTAAGACTTGCTCCAAGTGGTATTTTATCCTAAAAGTAATATGCAAACAAATCGGCATTTAATATTTATACTATTATTTTACATGATATTGTTTAACATGTAAGGTGTAATTGAGAGACAAAGTCTTATGCTATCTCATCTCTCAGTTACCTAACTTTCTTTGCCTGTTTAGATAGGCACCATTATTTGCCTGGAGGCAGACTTCTGAATTGTAGGAATCACGCTTAAGAAAAGTTAAATAGTTTAAAAAGGGTGTATGCTGTGAAAAATTAACTCTATCACATGATGACAAATGACATATTTTATCACAAGATTGACAGGACCAGACCTATGATTTATGGGTAAAGGATCTCCTAGATAAGGAAACTCTCTCTACCAATGCAATCATTCCTTTCTGTGCAACTTATAGTCATAACTTATTCTAGGCATAAGTTAAATTTGGCATTCTTATGTCAACACCTGTCTACCTGCTTTTAGTTACACTAACCCTAACTGGCTTCTTTAGATGCTACTGGGTTCATAGAGTGTCAGCATAAGCTACTAGATAAATCCACCATAAATACAAATTTCAACTACGCAAGTAACAAAAAGAGACGATTTTTGTGTGATTTTTACACAATCTCTCCTTAGTTTCATGGCCTGAATTGTTCATTTTCAGGGCAAATGTATTAAAAGTAAAACAAACTTGTACTCATGGAAGACTGCAATACTTAGATTATTAGGTTTTCAAACTTTCTGACCGTTATTTTCACTGGAACAAAAATAAATGTAGAAAATTTGTCAATTTTAATTTATGCCTAGAATAAGGTATGACTTTAAGTTGAAGAGAGCGTCTGAGGCTGGATTTATACTCAGGCCTTCTTGACTCCAGCTCCAGCGCTCTATCCACTGCACCATGTGGCTGCCGCTTGGTCACGTATGGCTGAAGGCTTTGGACCTGACCTAGGACTCATCACTTACCATCTGATTTAGGAAGGCACTTGTGTTTCACTGAGCCTTAGTTTCCTTATCTTTAAATGAAGATAATGAGATTTGCAGAACATTCTGAGGAATAAATTAGATAATGTGTGTCAAATTTGCTAGGATTTTCTAAGTACCTACTATGAGAGTTTTTGTTTTTAAATTCCATCAGACCTTTAAAACATAGAAGACCACATGGACTCTCAGCCATCAGGGAGGGCGGTATTGTACAGTTGAAAGGATATTGGGTTTTGGAGACCTGCCTGCAATCTAAACTGTGTTCCTTCATATCTCTGTGACCTTGGGGAAATCACTTAACTTCTCTAGGCCTCAGTCTCCCATTTTGTAAAAGGAGGGGGTTGGATGGATTTTTAGGGTCCCTTCCAGGGCCAGATCTATGAATGTTGGATTACCTGTATGCAAATTATGTGCTTTGGAAATCAGTTATTTGTAAAATCCAGTTGCTTCTAGAGTGAAAGTGTTACCGTTGACCCCAGCAGAGTATAATTTTGAAAATTCAAGTCTTATAAGCAAATGAAGGAATACATGAATGAGTGGATGTGTTACTAGTAACTTGGGGGTTGTTTATGTGCTTTCTAATGCCTCTTAGGAGACTGCTGGGTGCCATGGTGGGTAGAGCTGTGGGCCTGCAGTGAGGAAGACTTGAATTTATTTTTATTTGTTTTGGCTAGGCAATGGGGTTAAGTGACTTGACCAGGGTCACACATTTAGTAAGTGTTATGTGTCTGAGGGCGAAGTTGAACTCAGGTCCTCCTGAATCCAGGGCTGGTGTTCTATCTACTGTGCCACTTGGCTGCCCCCAAGACTTGAGTTTAAATGTAGCCACAGGCACTTACTGTGTGACCCTAGGTAAGTCACTTGTCTGCCTCAGTTTCTTCAACTATAAAAAGGAGATAATAAAATACCTACCTCGTAAGGTTGTTGTAAGGTTCAAATGGGTTGATAATTTGTAAAGTGTTTGGCATATAGTAGGAACTTAATAAATCCTTCCTATTAGTGCCAATAAATTGAATGAATGATAATAGATTATGAAAAATAGCTACTTTGTGTACAGAAATAAAGTGGTTAATTATTAGCCATTGCAGAGAACCTTTCAAAGAATGAACACTGCCTAAATAACCTTCGTCTAATTATGTTTTTCAGAAATCAAACTTAAGAAGCACACAGATCCAGTATTACCTGTGCCTCATTTTAAATAGCCATTTTTTCAGTTTTTTGACTGAAGTTGGAACACATTTCTTCATCCTCAGGTAACAGACTCTGTGATCATGACTACATGCAGAAATGGTTGGCTCAGCTTTCTCAAATTCTGGGCATTTTGGTATAAAAGTATGGTTTAAAGGGAATTGATTTCCTTCCTTTGACTATGTCTGGGATGAAGGGATATGGTGTGTGTGTGTGTGTGTGTGGCTGTGAATCTAGACCTGTGATTTCATCCTCATGAAGAAAACCCAGTGGGGAAATACCCTCTATCAGAGCACATCTGGTGGGCCCTCCATCCAAATCTTCCTAACTAAGGTGACCTTTCATCCTCTATACCAGAGGTGTCAAACTCGGGCCAGTGGCAGGCCTCACACAGCTGGCAAAATTCCAGTTCCCAAGTGGGCCCCAATCAAATTAAAACAGTTGGAAAGTATTGAACTAAATACATAAAAATACACCCCTGATAATATTATTTAATGCGTAGTTTTCTAAATCGATATGTAGCCTGCAGGAGTCCCTTTCTATTGGAATTTGTTTGACATTCCTGCTCTAGACTGTGTCACTTCTCATGATTATGTTTATCCCCAAATAAGTTGGACCCCCTTGGTATTTTCTTCCTGCCTGGCTTCTAGCATACATATTCTTAAAGAATCCATCTCCTGGTTTTGTTTTGTTTTTTTTGGGGGGGTGAGGCAGAATGGAAATGAGGGAAATTAGCAGTATAGTGTAGTGGATAATTAGCCAGCCAGGAAACTCTGGGTTCAAGTCCTGTCTCTGACACACACTTGCTCTTTGACCTTGGGCAAGTCACCTAAACTTCCAGTACCCCTGGAAACTCTCTAAAGACTCAAAGTTACAGAGGAGCTGATGATCTGCATTGATAGAAGATTCCTCTCTGGAAACTCCCAATATCAATGAGAGTACAAAAGAAAGAAAGTCTAATTATGTTTTTTCTTGCTACATACTCATTTATCCCTGAAGATTACTCACTCTGTGTTTTTCCCCCTTCCTTTTTCTTCCTTACTTTTGTTGTTTCCAAAAGTATTTCTTATTTCGTCTTCTGCCTCTAAGGCTTCTCCTAGGGTGGCATATTCCCTAACCCGAAAATCTGACAGCCCATTTTACCCTGAAACAAACATCACCAGAAGAGCAATGGACTCAGATTTTAGAGAGAAAGTGATAGGCTGTCATCTCTCATTCCTTCTGCCAAGGCAGAATGGCATTAAGCTAGACTCCTCTGTAGAAAATTCCTTAAAATCAGCTGTTACTCCTGCTTCTTTTATCATAGATTTCCAGCTAAAAGGCACCTCAGAGGCCATTTAACCTAGCCACTTTTTTTACAGATGAAGCACCTGAGGTCCAGGAAAAAAATTAACTGACCTTGGCCAAGGTCACACAGGTGACTCACATTCAAAATGTATAGGTCTTTCCACTTGAGCCTTTCTACGTCTTAAAGGGAATGGGTACATCATTTGGTCACTGCCTCTTTGTATTGAAACTCAGGCCTGACTAAATCTGAATGGGTGATTTTAAAACTTCTGGTAGACCAGCATTGGTGCTATCTATAAAAGATGGATTTGTCAAGTAGATTTAATGGTGAGCTCATGGTCTAAGGGAGTGTGTTTAACTTGCTTAAAAGAGCAAATTATTTTTAAGAGCACTTACTTGGCAATGCTATGAAAATAGATGTTTGCTGTTGTTTTTGTTCAGTTGTATTAGTCATGTCTGACTCTTCATGACCCCACGTGGGGTTTTCTCAGCAAAGATACTAGAATGGTTTGCCATTTCTTTCTCTAGCTCATTTTACAAATGAGGAAATTGAGGCAAACAAGGTAGAGTGACTTGTCCAGGGTCATACAGCTAGGAATTATCTGAAACCAAATTTGAACTCAAAAGATAAGTCATCCTGACTCCAGACCCGACACTCTATCTACCATGCCATGTAATTGCCCTATGAAAACAACAATAACAAAAATGAGTTTTAGCTTTTCATTGGGCAAGAGGTCTTGTCAAATGCATTTGATTTTATTATTCATACTTGTGACTCATCAGCGCCTGTGTGATTTTATTTGAGCCTATGATCCTCTGATTGCATGTTCTCTTCCTATTAGTAGCTAATACTAGAATCATGCTGGTGCAGAAAAGCCTCATAATTTGGTTTTGTTTCAGCTGTATCAGTGCCCATCTGCCTAAAACCGAAGCTTCTCACTGGCAGGATGTCATGAAGGATTTGAAACACATTCAATTTCTCATCCAAGTAAGTACTGATTTTCCCATCCTCTCCCTGGGTTAACCATCTTCACCTGAATAACACTGGAAAGTCACTGGGAGTCCTTTTATCTGGGTAGTAGATGGATGAAGCTGGTACATGGCCCAAACATGGGAATGTATGGGCTCCATTAAACAGGTTTCAGCTAATTGGCAAATAAATAATCTTCCTTTCATTTTTTAAAAAATCCTGATGTTTAATTTCAATTATTTTTTAGATGTTTTCGTCCTCTAACTTTTCATGTATATAATTTTCTTTCCTTTTAGTCCTTAGATATAGACACCATTCTGTATACTGAAAGTAATGCCCATGTAAGTATATTCGCCACATTTTTTTTGCCATAATTATTGTGTTGTTCAATTTTCTTAGAATCACAGAATATTAGCCCTGGAAGGGACCAAACCATATGAAGGTCATATGAAAGAACTGGAATGTTCTTAGCCTAGAGAAGATTTGGGGGAGAGGGGAGGGCATGACAGCTGTCTTCATGAATTAAAAGCTGTCATGTAGAAGAGGGACTAGCTTTGCTCAGCTTGACCCCAGAGAACAGAATTAGGTATAATGGGTGAACTTGCAGATAAGCATATGTGACTTCCATAGAAGGCAAAACCCCTTAATAATTAAAGATGTCTAAAGGTGGAATGGGCAACTTTGAGGAATAATTAATGAGTTTGCCATTATTGAAGTTTGACCGTCAGAGGCTAGATGACTTCTGAGTCCATCCAAGTCCCTTTCCCCCACTCTCCTTGAGACCCTGATATTCTGTGATTCTATGACAGAGATTATACAATTCAAACCCCTTATTCTTCAAGGCCTAGTGGTATGAAATGTAGTGAGTTAAGGTTATGAATAGGCAAAAACTTGGGTCTCCTGATTCTCTCCCTTCACCCAGAAAACTATCACCCCAGAGCTGGCTTAGAAAAAAAAAAACTCGTTTTTGTATGTCTCTTGAATGTACCCTTGGGTATATAATTAAGGCCCCTGTAGACCTGCCCTCTTCTCTGTGACAGATGCTGGCCTACTTCTCCGTGGATCTGTGTCCAGGGCCAGTTCATGCTGAGTTCACTTTCCTGAGCAGATTGAGAAGAAACAGACTTAAAGAATTTGACTTGCTTCCTCTGAGAAGCCAGAAAAGGAGACTGATCTTCCAGGACTTATAATGAATTTGGCTGAAGTTATAGAATTCATATCTCACTTTTCAATGTGTTCCTTTGGGTTCAGCAAATTTTTAAATTAAAATATTGTGAAAAGGTCTCCATGGACTTCTTGCTGACAGGATAAAAAACAAACAACCCTCTCCCTCCAAACAAAACAAATAAACGTATATATCAGTGTGCCAAGGACCTTTGATTATAACACCAATGCAAATCAAAATGTCTCAGGTAGATACCTGAGTTTCAGATTTATATGTTATTAAAATATAATATATAATTATATATTCATAATTTATTTCTATATTTAAATGTGTTATATATTAATATAATTATATATAAAATATGATTTATAATATATTTATGTTGTATGTATTATACCATAATATATATACATTCTACTACATATACAACATATATTATATATAATATGTGTATATATTATAATATCATAATAGTAACATCGCAGATAGGACCTTGTATGTCAACTAGTCCAGTCTTCTCATTTTACAGATCAGGAAACTGAGACACAGAGGGAGTAATAGGACTTTCACTTGGTCACACAGCTAATTAGTGTCAGGAACAGAATCTGAATCTAGTCTTTCTGACTCCAGGCCTAGCCCCATATTTGTTATACTATGCTGCCTTTTTCAGAAAGAAACTGGGAAAGCCAGAAAAAGAAAAAAAGAAACACATGTCAAACCAAAGTAAGATCTTTTTGTGGACTTTTTTCTTTGTGATAGAAGGAAAAATAGAAGTCATTGTTAGAAAACATATTAAGGGCAGGCAAATTATATTACCAGTTATCTTCCATAGAATTCCACAGCTGACACAGCCAGGCCTTCATTATGTACCCACATCAACTCTCCTGTTTTCTGTAAATTGAGTGAATGTATGCATTAATAAGATGGTTTCTCCCTCTCTTGCAAATAAAATAAGAAATCCTGCCTATTACCAGTTGTATGAACCAAGCAACAAATCTGTAAAACTGATTACTTTTCTCAAAAGCCTAAAAGAAATACTTTGACCTTGTTTAATTGGACTGAAATTAAACTGAGGCACATCTGATTTCTCCCATGTTTCTGGGTATAAAAACAAGGTCTTTCTTTCCTTTTCCTTTATTCACTAGAAGACATTGTGTTAGTGAGTTAATTTTTTTTTGGGGGGGTGAGGCAATTGGGGTTAGTTAAGTGTCTTGCCCAGAGTCACCCAGCTATTGAGTGTTACGTGTCTGAGGCCAGATTTGAACTCAGGTCCTTCTGACTACAGGGCCAGTGCTCTATCCACTGCTCCACCTACCTGCCCTTATGATTCAATTTTTGATTGGACTTTCCATCAACAGTATCCTAATCAGAATCTTTTTGGCAATGTCAATCTTGGCCAACACCAGGAACGTGGCTTTTTTTTTTTTTAATATAGTTACCAATTCGGAGCCACTTGCAAAAATTTCAGAAAAAGGTCCTCATTACTTGGAGAATGAGTCGATCTCTCATCTCCCAGCCAACTAGAGTCTGCATGGAGAAAGTATAAAAGTATAAGGCAAGCCAGACTTAGGGCAAGGGAGATGACCATGCAGACTACATGAATAATTAACCATCAACAAGCTGAGAAATTGATTTTTAGTAGCTCTTGCAAATCTCAAGGGCTTAGTTGAGGCGGATTTTGCTTGTTTAGACATTCTTCCTGGAATGAGCCAGACCATTGAACAGGCACTGTGGCTTCCAGCATTTTCTGTCTGTACCTTTCTGTCTGCAGTCTTTCCCCTTCTAAAATCAAAACCACTTTCTAAGGATTAGTAGTTAAAAAGAAACCTTCCATTTACGTAAATGCCTTATACCTTTTCAAGGCACTTCCAACAAAGCATGTCATGAGAGCCTTCCAATATCTCTGACAGGTGGGTAGGAGGCACTCTCTATTTTGCCAGTAGGGAAAGAGACCCTTGGTTCAAATCCTGCGTCTGACTCTGTGACCAGAGGCAAATCGCTTCACCTGTAAAATGGCGAGACAAATAGATGACATGATCTCCGAGGTCCCTTCCAGATTTAAGTCATTGAACCTAGGAAATTGCATAGAGAGATTTCATATAATTATAAGTTTAGTTACTTGCCTAAGGTCAGACAGGTAATGAATGGTAGAGCCAAGATTCATACCCAGGACCTCTGACTCCAGTTTTAGCCCTTTCCCCCAAATGAACACAAGAAATATTTCTTAATGATTAGAGTAGTCCAAAATGAATGACGACCCACTGGCTGCTTCCAGACATGAGGAGTTGCATTAGAAAGGGATGGAACTCTTCATGTAGAGGTCCTCCTGCCTTCCTCTTCATGTGGGATGTTATAGAAAGGGATTCCCATTCAGATCCAGGTTGTCTCTGAGGTTCCTTCTAAATATAAAATTCCAAGAGGATAAGAGGGGTTTAGACTATATGACTTCTTCCAACTTTAAATCCTATGATTCTCTCAAGGGACTGGTTAAAGGGAGAGTCATTAAGAGAACTTGAACCAGATGCAGGTCTGCTAGTGCAAAATGTTTCCCATGTACCACCATATGGCTGTCCTAGATTAGGGATTTTTCTGAATGTAGGTTTTTCTTTTGTTTTCTATCAGAGTAACAACTCTCTAAGCTATCTGCTGCATAGATGTAACTAACATCTTGGAACATGACATTTCCTTAGCAAAAGTTTGGACAGAATGAGTTTTTGGTCCAAAATTTAAAATATGAAATAATCAAAATTTTTTTAAAAAAGCAATGAATTCTTATAAAACAGCTCTTTTTCAATTCTCCTTGTAGCCAAGTTGTAAAATCACCGCGATGAGGTGCTTCCTTCTGGAGCTTCGTGTGATTTCCTATGAATGCAATAATACCAGGCTCACTGAAACAGTAGAAAATGTCATCGTCATTGCCAATACCACATTATCATCAGACAGGGTGAGCTTTCTTTGTACTGCTAAAATAAAAATATGATATAGCTTTGGTTTTGTTTGTTTTTATTTTTTAGTATTTATTGATATATTTTGTTTTTACATCACCTGCATTTCCCCCTTTATTTCTATTCTTCTGTCCCTCTCAGAGAGCAACCCTTTATAACAAATTAAAAAAACAAAAAGGAAGGACAGAAAAAAAATCAGCAAAACCAAAAACACATTGAAAAAAATCTGATGTCATATTCCATATTCCGTATCTGTGGACCCCTACCTCTGCAAAGAAGCAGGAACTAAGGAGCTTCTTAAACCCTTTTGGTTAGACTGCTTAGGAGAGAGCCTGATCCAGGCAAGGTGATCAGGAGCCTTCCCAGAACGAGCCAAGAGCTCAAGGAGATTGGCCACAGTTAGGAGACATCAATCACTAACTCTAATCTGATTTAATGGAATCTATTCCAGTTTACTCACACTTCCTAGATCATATTCATTGTGTTTAAGAAAGACTGAGTAGACACTTTCCAGACATCATTTGAAAACAGATTATGGGCTGCATTCACTTTTTAGACAAGCCTCACTCAATTTGAAGGAAAAAAAATATGAACATAAAATTGGACCATTCAATATAAGCTTTTATTAAGCACTTAGTATGTTCCATTCCCTGTGCTATAGATACAAAGAATGAGACATAACCCCTGATCTCAAGAAATTTACATATGAGGATAATTAATAAACTTACCAATTCTACTTTGCTCTAGAACAGGAACTCCCAACCTTATTTAGCCTACTGCCCCCTTTTAAAAAAATTAGTGCCCTCCAGGAAATTTTTAACCCTTTAACTTTTTTTTTAAAATTTGCATCATTTCAAAAAATATTTTTAAAAATGACACATCTTAAATTTAATAATTTATTGTAAATATGTATTTTTTTCTTGCATTGAAATTTTGATGACACAATAGTCATGTAATTGTATAGCATATAGTATCGTATCGTAAGCAAGTCATAACATGCATGCTGGACTTCTGACAATGCATGACATTTGTTTGTTAAGACCTGTTGGCAGACTGGTCCGCTGATTGGTTATGACTTGCATTTTGTGGGTTTATTTGGGAAATAATGTAATCACTACGACTTATACTCAGTTACACACTGATGAAACGTACAAATGGTTTTTCAAATTTTTCTTATCTTTTCTTATGCTTCCACCACCCCTTTATTTTTATTTAACACCCTCCAATTGCACAAGAGGCTACTACTCCCCCCCTTCATTGTTCCAGCACCCCCCAGGGGGCTGTATTGCCCACTTTGAGAACTTCTGCCTAGAATAATTCATGGAATTATAGAACTGGACTTGACTTCAGAAGTCATTCAGTCCAACACCCCCATTTTATAAATAAGGAAATTGAAACCTAAAAAGCTTTAAACTGAATTCAACGATCACCAAGTAAGTACCTTGCTCTGTGTTGACAGAAAAAGTAAACAGGACCTGCCCTTGAGGAACTTCATTTCTGAGTAGGGCAATATATGACATGTACACAGATAAATATAAATTATTGTGCGTTAATACAGAACTTTGAAGAGCAGAAAAGCTCTGACAAAGAGAGGTTGAAGGGATGGATCGGGAAGACTTCTTTGTCCTTTGAAGAAACAGAGAGCTCAAAAAGACAGAGCCTTCCAGACAGTTAAATCTTGTTTCAAATGCTTTCCATTAAATTAATAGCTTCTTGAGGGTAGAGACTGTATTGTTTTTTATTTTGTATCTCAACTGTCTGAAGCAGGAGTGGGGAATGTGCGGCCTGGAGGCCACATGTTGGACTTTTAGGTGCTCGGATGCAGCCTTTTGACTGAGTCCAAGTTGCACAGAACAAGTCGTTTTGTTAAGGGGATTTGTTCTGTGAAGTTTGGATTCAGTCCACACTTGAGGACCTAGAGGGCCACATGTGGCCTTGAGCCCTTGTTTCCCCAGCCCTGGCCTAAACAGTGAAACACTTCAGCTTTTTATTGTTTTTTTTTTTTCCAGATTTGCTTCTGAATCAGCACAGAAGACAACAGTTTAAAGTTCTAAAGGTTGAACCTAGATTTAATCACATGTAGCCAAGTTGCTATAGAAATAATTTCAATTTTTCAATCAATAGAGAACTTTTTGTTCGAGAACATTCATTTCATGGGGTTAACTTGGATAATTATTTTTTTTTTTGGTTACAACCTTTATCAATAGTAAAGGAAAAACAAACCCCCCTAATCACTTTCTCTGAAAGCTCTACCCAGGAAGCTCATGGGCATCTCGGGTTCTTGGCACAGTGTTCAGTTGATATGATACTACCAGGAAAGGGGATGGAGCCTTGCCTTGCTATAGTCATTTTTCTTTTGTGTCTTCTCTTTTGGCAGAACATCGCAGAATCAGGATGCAAAGAATGTGAGGAACTGGAGGAAAAAAATGTTGGAGAATTTTTACGGAGCTTCATACACATAGTCCAGTCATTTATTGGCACATCCTAATGTTATTTACTGCCTCTTCATTGCTTCTGTCAGTGAAAACTTTCTGTATGAACTTCTGGGGCAAGGACTCATCTCCACCAGCCACCAGAATTTGTCTCTCTTTTGAGATGATGATCAAGACTATGGAATTAATTCACATCACAGAACAAAGACAGAAAAGGAACCAAGTGTTTTGTGACCTCTTGTCATTTTGTTTTTAATTTATTATTGAAACTCTCCTAAATGATATGGGATGGGAAACCAAGGCCTTTTTGCCCTGAATTAGGTCTTACATTTAAAGAACAGATGTATTTGAACAAGATCTTTAGAAAGAGACAAAATAGGGACAGCTAGGTGGTACAATAGACAGAGTAGCATCACCAGAGTCAGAAGGATCTGGGTTCAAATCCGGCCTCAGGCACTTACTAGCTGTGTGACCCTGGGCAAGTCACTTAACCCTGAATGTCTCCAATAAAATTTTTTAAAAGTGAAATAAAATAAGATAGCAGCAAGGTACTACGGAAGGAGTGCTGAATTTTGGAGGGAGATAACATGAAATCAGCCTCTTAGTACCTGTGTGACTTGCAGCACATCACCTAACCTTTCTGGGTTGTTTCTGTTTCCTCAATTGTAAAAGGAGGGTGTTAGACAAGATGATGTCAGCTAGCATTCATACAGAACTTTAAAGTTTGCGAAGTGCTTTACAAGTGCCATCTCATTTTATCCCTCAACAACCCTGGGAGGTCGATGCCATTATTATCCACCTTTTACAAATGAGAAAACTGAGGGAGACAAGTTAAATGATTTGCCAAGAGGTACGCAGCTACGAAGGAAAAGCCCAGATTTGAATGCTCTCAAAGGTCCAATCCGTCTCCATGATTCTATGAGATGAAAAACTATATTTTATGTATAGTTTTATATATATATATATGTGTGTGTGTGTGTGTGTATATATATATATATATATATATATATATATATATATATATATATATATATATATATATATATATATATATATATATATATATGTATAGTCCACATACAAAATGGTTTTTCAAAAATGAAGGCTACTTCAGGATTGTTGAGACATAGTGCATAGGAGGCATCCTGTAGGTTTTTCACCATCTATTGATGACAATAAAATATTCATAAAATTGTCCTACATGAAATATAACCTGTTTCCCCAACTATAAAGTAGGTATAAAGTAGCACCCACCTCCCAGGGTTGCTTTATTTGGCACTCAGCACGTTGCCAGGCACACAGTAGATGCTCTATAAATGCTAGCTGTTATTATCATCATTGTTAGCCTCCATCCTCAACACTGCCTCACCATGACATGTGTCAAAATGGTTTTACCACACTCATCACAGAAGGTTTCTAAATAGCCCAGGTCGTTCAAGTTGGCAAAGAGTCAAGACCATACCAGAGATGTAGGAGGGGAGAGCATGATGCTGTTTTCCCAAACTAGGGACTTCAGGCGAAAGGTAAGGACAAACCAAAATCAGTGAAAAAGGCGATGTGGTGCATACACTGGCTTTGGAGTCAGAAGACACAGGTTCAAATCTGCCCTCTCCTAGGTCAGCCTCTCTGGGCATCTGTTTTCCTAGCTGTCAAAGGAGAGTGTTGGAGCAGATGGCCTCTGAGGGCCCTTTCAGCTCTGAATCTATGATGTTAGGAAGAAAATTACGGGTTGTAGTATTGTTTATTTTTTGCATTTTTCAATGTACATAGCACATAACTCAGGTTACAAAGTACTCACAGTGTTCACATTGTATTAAAGAAAATATTTTGATTGTTTTTTCTATTCTACAATCTTTAATAGTTGAAGGAAAAATAAGTCACTACAGAGTGTTTGGAACATGTGTTCTCAGGGATGTGTTGATTTTTATTTTAATGGAACATGAATGGATCTCACCGTTATGCTTTGTACATGTGTACACACACACACACACAAAATGTTTTCTTCGTTCCCCTCCCCAAAGTGTCCTCCTACCTGCAATTGGCTCACCTCCCTGGGTTTATAACCGTCTTCAGTGTGTATTTTAGAGAATTGGGCCCAGTGAGATAGATTTGATATTATGTCTGTCACTCTTGAGTAATGAGCCTTATTTCCAAAGTATACTCAGTGGTATCATCATGGCCTGAAAGAAGGAACATAACGCTCTCAGCACCAGATGGTAGTAGGTGAGCACTAGGGGAAAATAGGCCTAGGGAGAACTAACAATGATCTCACTGGTAAAACGTTGATTGTGTGTGTTGAATTTATGCACAACTGTGGAGGGCCAGGTTGTAAGAGAGCTAGCCTTGGTGACAGGAAGACCTGGGTTCTGCTCAGATCTTTGACTACTGATGCTTTCACTCCGCAGGCAACCCTAGTACTCCATGAAGCCACTTGCCCAGTGTTGTTATTATATAGGTAGTAAGTGTAAAAGGTGAGATTAGAAACCAGGGTCTTTGATTTCATCAAGTCCTCTGTATCATCCTATCTTCACACATACTATAATATATATATAATATATATATATATATACACACACATACATACATATACATATACATATATATACATGCATATACCTATACATACATATATATGTATATATGTGTATATATATATATATATGTATATATATCTATACACGTATACATATGTATATATACACACACACATTATACACACACACAACATATATATATATATACATACATACATACACATAAATGTATTTGCATATGTGTAAATAAGGTTTTATATAAGGGACTTTCACACTTTGTAGGATCATAAATTTGGAGCGGGGAGGACTTTAAAGTCCATTGAATCTAATCCCCTTATTTTACAGGTGAGGATATTGTGCACAAATGGGTCATAGGACTTACAGAGATATGGAGGTGTTCTGGAATCAGAGGACGGAGTTCAAGTTCTGCCTCTGGGCCAAGTCACTTAACCTGCCAGGGATCTCAGTTTCCTCAGTTGTAAAATAAGTAGCAAGAGAAAGAAGGATTGGAGAGGGCTGGATAGCTGGCCTAGGTTTATGGTCCTAAATGAATGGAGGCAGGATTTGAAACTTGGTCCTTCTGACTAAGTTCAATCAATGCCCTCTTCTTTACGTTGTGCTACCTCTTAATGTTAAACACTTAAGCTCAGTTCAGTAAATATGAAGCATAAGTTTGTATCTTACTGTAGTTCTCTCTTTTAAATGACAATGATTCAGTTATGAGTTCTTTCAAAAAAAAATCTTGGATGCAGAGTTTCACACATGCAAACCATATCTCCATCCATACACACAGAGAGTTTAACATTGTATGTTAAACATTTAGACTTGTCTCGCCATCTCGCCTTCTCAAGACACACTGTGTTCTGATGGATAGAATGTTCCACCTGGAGTCAGAATGTTCTCTGATGCTTACTAGCTGTGTGGCCACAGATGAGTCATGACTACTCTGAGGCCTAAATTTTCATATCTTTAACATGGAGATAATAAATGGCAATGTATGCAAAGTACTTTGCAAACCGTAAAGTGCCATATAAATGTCAGTATCATTAGCATCATCTCAGAAAAAATACATTTGGTTTCCATCTCACCTTTCCCCTGAAAAGTTGAAAGCATTTTACATAGAATATAAATAAAACATTAATCTCTATGTCCATGGTCTCTGAAAGGACAGTGGACCGAATGAGAATAAGGCAATGGGATCAGTTATTAATGCCAATAAGACTCTGTGCTGAGGCAGGAAATGCTGAAGGTCCTCATGGGAAGAAACCTTGTGATCTCCGGTCACTGATATGGAGAAAGGGCCATCTGGAAGGGTGTGGCACTGGTGATTACTGGCAGAATTAGTGTAAAATTAGCCCAGTGGTTTTATTATTATTTTTATTATTATTGGGCAGCTAAGTGGTGCATGGTATAGAGTGTTGGGCCTGGAGTCAGGAAGATTTATCTTCCTGAGTTCAAATCTGACCTCAGACATTTACTAGCTATGTGACCTTGGGCAAGTCACTTAATCCTGTTTGCCTGAGTTTCCTCATCTGTAAAATGAACTAGAGAAGGAAATGGAAAACCACTCCAGTATCTCCACCAAGAAAACCTCAAATGGCATCATGAAAAGTTGGAGACGTCTGAAACAACTGAATGACAAAAATTATTATCGTTAACAATAATGTTAGCTAGCATTTGTATACCACTTTAAATTTTGCAAAGCACTTTATATACATTATCCCATTTGATTCTCACAACAACCTTGTGAGGTAGGGGTTATTTTTATGTTTTTTTGTTGGTTTTTTTACAAATGAGGAAACTGAGAGCGGGAGAGGGTAAGCAACTTGCCAAGGCTTAAACAGTGAACATTTGAGACAAGATGCATCTGTCTGTTTCGGTCCATTTTAAAAAAATACCGGAAGGATTTCTAAAATCATCTTAGTCTTGACAAATGGTCATAAGAGGCAGTTTTTAGAAGAAGAAATCTAAGCTAACCAAAGCCTGCAAAATGCTCTAGATCACTAATAATTAGAGAAATGCAAATTTAAACAACTCTAAGGTACCACCTCACAGCCTTTAGATTAGCTAAGTTAACAAATAAGGAAAATGACAAATACTGGAGGGGCTGTTGGAAAACAGAGACATTAATGCACCATTGATGGTATGTGAATTGTTTCAACAAAAGCAACTTGGAACTAACAATAATAAAAATATTTCACATTTATATAGCACCCAAAAAGGAGGCAGGTACTTTTATTACCCTCACTTTACAGAAGAGGGAACTGAAGCAAAAAGGAGGTTTAGTGATTTGCCAAGGGTCACACAGCTAGTGAGTGAGGTCAGATTTGAATTCCTGTCTTTCTAAATTCAGGCCCAGCACTCTAGCTAGGGAACCACTTAATTGCCTATGACCCGAAAGCTATTAAACTGTGCATGCTCTTTGACTTTATGATACTGCTACTAGGTCTATACCCCAAAGAGATCAAAGAAAAATTATAATGACCCATATGCAGAAAAACATTTATAGCAGCACTTTTTGTGGTGTCAAAGAACTGGAAACTGAGGAGTGCTGTATCTGGGGAATGGCTGAACAAGTTATCATATTTAAATATGATGGAATATTATTGTGCCATAAGAAATGATGAGCAGGATGGCTTCAAAGGGAAAAAAAACTGGAAAGACATATAAACTGATGCAAAGTGAAGTG